CCCCAGCGTTCTGGTCGGTATATCTAAAAGTGAACGAACACTCCGGACTGTTGTTGTGGGTAGGATCACCCTAGCGTCCTGGAATGTTTTGTGCGGTTGAAGGGAACTAAGGCAAGAGGAGTTGTTGATTCCTTGAGTGTTTCGACTGCAAGCATAGAATGAGTAAATCCACTGCATATATAGATTTTAGAGCGTTTCGATGGCTATGGAAGGTGTTTGAAACTGAGTCAAGACTGATGCTGCACCCTGTGTTGAAGTGCAGTCGGGGCATCAGCTAGAGGGTTTGCTGGTGTGACCTCGTCAACGTGTGCCGGTGACTTAGCACTTTGGCACGAGAAGAAAGGGTGTGTCCGACAAAGCTCATCCCAGTGAATGCAAAATCAGGCAAATCCGTCTGTGAAGCGTTTCACTGTGGTCTCGACTCGAAGATGAGATATGTTGCAGAGCTTGTCAAACGCAGTGGAGTTTCATCGAGTTAGGCACATAAAACTATTGCGGAGCTGATGGAAGAGCAAAAGCGATAGGGTTGGAATCCGACGGCTCAGTTAGATCGATGCCATCGCTCTCATTTCTGAAGAGATATGAGAAAGTGCGTTTTCCTATCGATGGACACGGGAAAAACAGGCAGCTGAAGTAGAGTTGGACCTTTTGACGCTTGAGTTCAGCCGCATCTTGATCACGTCGGGGTCACCAAATTATAGCGGTCTAAGCAGTGTTTGTACTCAAATCACTAAAATCCTCCGGCAAAATCTCAATTTGTTGGAAAAGACAAAATGCACTTGCAGGAAGAATTAATTGTGCACAGAACTCCTAGTTACTGCCCCAAGCAGCAACGGCCACTGACAAAGTCAGGGCTAGTGTCCAATATTTCCATTTAAAACGGAGGGAGAGGGGTTTGAGGCTGGTGGCAGCTGCTTTAATAGATTAATGGATCAAGTTCCGGTGTTGTCCACTAAGTGTATGAACGCAACCAGAATCCAACTTTCTTAGTTTCTTCAGCTTCCACTATTTGCACTTTAGACACCGCAAGTAACTTTCCATTTTTTTCATTGCAGGGACTATGTAGGAGACTTCATAGTACAGCTGCACAGGGAAAATATTCCCATGCTTATATTTTCTGCTGGCATTGGGAACGTTATAGAACTTCTTCTGGAACGTTTTCACCTGCGCTTCGACAATGTTCGAGTAGTCTCCAACTTCATGGACTTCAACGCTGAGGTACTTCTTCTTCTTCTACTTGATATCTGCCGTTCTATTTGTCCACCTTCGACCTCGTAACTTCTCATTTTATCCTTATTTTCTGAGTCTTAGTAAACTTCAGGCTAGACCTGTTCCCTGGAAGTCCGCATCACTTTTTATCTTTTGTGAGAAATTACATGTTTTTGTCGGTCAACCGCTACTCCAACAGAAGCATACCTTTTAGTTATTTCTGTTATTTGAGCCACGTCTGACCCCTAAGTTTGCGGGAAGAACCCGATTTTCTGACCATTCTGGACATTTGATGAAATTGAGTGTCAGGTAGAACATGCCTAGGAACAATTTGTTTAAAGCAGCATAAGCACCTTCGGCGCTGCTTATTTACGTTTGCAGTTGCGTGTGAACGTAACTTGGGTGTTCGCATGTTACATGAAAGCCAGAAATTGTCTATTCTTTGGGCAATCCGGTCTCCCATTACATTTTTGATAACTAAAGAACGTAGCCTAATCGATTTTAAATGAGTTATGATTTCATCGGCAGTTAAGTTTTTTTTGGACCTGAGCTGTTGCATCAGATTTTTGACGAGAAGTTCGAGAAAAAGGTTCTGCATTTTCTCCTGGAATTTCGCTGTTAGCTGGTTTGGTTGCTGTGAACAGTGACCACCAAGCCTCTTAAAGGTCATTATACAATTTGACTGATGAGAGGGAGAGGGTTCTGCATCTTTTCGAAATACAAAGTTAGCTAGTTTAGTGTGTGTGTGTCGTAGCCCATTGTTGGATCAGGAATCCCCGCCGGAATCCA